AACGTTATGATGATGTGCGTATAATATTATGTATGATGTATGTGTGAAGTTTGAATGTAATATGTCCAGGCATGTCTAAGATATAGACCCGCACGCACGCACATAGGTCACTCCATAGTTCTCCGTTTTCGGACATAATTACAAAACGTGACTACACATACTTCGCAACGAGGCATAGAACACAGCAAAATGGAGTACGGAACTTATCAAAACGAGACACGCAACACAGCAAATCCAGACATGGAACACATCACAACCAGACACGGAACACAGCAAAACCAGACACAGAATATTTACAGCTACGGCTTCAATACTGTAGACGAGTTTGGCCTGATCGTCAATAAAACATCACCCGTTTGGCAAGCGACCGGAAATATTATCAATGTTCGGTCGAACCGGTGAAAAAAGTAATCACGCCAAATAACGACCAAAACGAGACCATTTAAGCCACAATATAATCATAAAAATCATAGATGATTTTCGTTGCATTTGACAATGATAAACTTACCGATATAGTCCACCATTTTGTTTGAGTGTGTTTGTGACCTAACTCTGAATGGCGACATCACCAAGTGCGCTATAGAGGGCGTCTGTGATTGATGGACTACACCAGTCTGAGGAGGTCTCGTTGAAATCCCGTTATATATGGATCAGATCTATGTGGCGATAGATAAAAAATACCGAATCACAGGTACGAAACAAAAACATTAAAAAATAATGATTAAAAAAATAGTAAAAGTAAAAAAACATAATAAAACAAAATTAAAACGCTCCGTATAATACTTTAGATTTTAAGCAGATTGGCACTGAGTATAACGCTGGGTAAGTTTTGACACGTCAACTGCAGACCATGCCTATAAACTACACATATCTTAACTAGACCTGTATGCCCCCCCCCGCAATCATACTTGGCAAACAAGCTTTATTGTATAAGACCTAGACATCGATTATTGCGATTTCCACATTTCTTCAGACAACTTTCAATAGCACAAGCTAGCTGAGTCCGCAACCGAGTCCGCGCTGAACACAAACATTTATGGTTTATGGTGTTGTTTTTCTCGTTTATGTTTTTTTTTATAGTGTCCGGTAATAAAAACAATGTTTAACGATCAATTCCCCGAGTTTATAGCGTACTTAAAACATACTTATGCACACACAACCAAGCAAGAAATGCAATTGTTGTGTTTTAATGTGTTAGCCGTCAGATTTGCTGGGTGTGTTCAAACCAGGCGGAACAAACGACAATCAGTAATTATGAAATACCTAACAGTGATGCTATATGGATTGTTCACTTTATACGGTGAGAAAATATTGTATAATATAATGATCAACCAAATTTTCCGTCTAACAACCCAGTTCGCAATATTTTTGTTCATGTGGTCGTCTTACTAACTTATAATCTTGTGTGTGTGTGTGTGTGTGTGTGTGTGTGGATGTGTGTGCGTGTGTGTGTGTGTGTGTGTTTTGTTGCAATTTGCAAACGAAATTGTGTACGTCACACTCATGTATGGCAAACATTTAGAGTCTTAACGTACAAAAAATGGTTCCGTAGACATTTTTTGCGCGAAAGAAATTGTGACGATATTCTGCTTTTGGTTGTAAGTTAGTTTTAAGGTCACTCAGTTAAAACTGTCCCATTGTTCTATGGTTCAAATTATTCATTCATTAATTATGCATTCTATATAAAGTATTCGCACAGACTACATACTACTGTGTAACTTAGTAATTATTGGTCCACCATTAACACGATATGACACTCATGCTTATACAATTATTGGGTGGATCTTCATTTTGTAACCACCACCCCCTTCGAGAAGGGAAATAACCCGAAATCTAGGCAAAGGACATGACTTCCTGATGACAATGTGTGTGTGTTAAATCCGTGCATATTAATAACTTTATTCGCATAATAATTAACCAATTTTCGACTTTTTCACCGATATCTTAAGTAGAAATCATCACATTCAATAACAAATATATATAGGATAGTTGTTGAGACTCTACTGAACAGTGTAACAAGATTATCCCTACATGTGCAACATATATAAATTTTGTTGGTTGGGATTAATTCAAAGTTGCGTGTGTGCTGTTTCCTTGACTACAGCTGTTTTCACCGGCTCGTCGACCAGTGTCCGACAGCAGCTCGAGCAGAACCCATATAAATACATATTAGAGTGGTGTGCGTCTTAGCAACGTTGAACGTTCTGTGACGTTTAGTAGCTCCGTCCCCAATGAATCATTCGTATTGACCATAAACAGCAAGTACAAATTATCATGAAATGTACAAGGCTGCATGTACACACTTCTGTAGAAAATATTATTCAAATATTTTGAAACGCGTACATACATATTATAGACTATAATTTTAAATATGAAATGTTATTTTGCTAATATATATATATATATAGTCTAGATGTGGGAGTCGATTATTCCAAAACAAAAGTGCTCAATACAATATATATACATTGTTGAGTAGGATGAGGTTGCCGAGACGTGTTAATTTGCATGATCCTGTTTACACTCGCTAACTTCTGCATAATAGTGTCATGGTCTTGTCAATGAGTTTTGCAAAACGAACAATAATCTTCAACGAACGCGCTTCATATTCCCGGGGAGGTCACACGGGTATTTTAAAAAGGGAACAAACGCGGATATAAGTTTTATATGATGTGTTTATTATTTGCTTTCAAGGTGTGTACTCTCAATTAACAAATCCGGGATTATTGGCATCGTGGTACCAGAATGGAACTGGGACTATAATGTTTATTGACGCAGATGGAGAGGAGATCTACAGTAATCTCACCGATGCGGAAAAAGGTCTTTCCCACTCGTTAATAGATGTATCAGTTACTTCAGTTATATTGAGCTTAGATTATGATTATAATGATGGTCTCCTTTTCTGGACGGAATTTTCTACCAGCGGCATTTACAAAGCTTTTCATGAATCGGGACACTATACAGTCACTCCGATATACAATGGGACGACGACTGTTAACATAGGTCTGGCAGTTGACTGGGTTTCCAAGAACATATATTGGACAGATTCTGCATATAATTGGATTATGGTGTCCGACTACAACGGTTTATATGTACATCCTCTGATTATCACTGATATGGACCACCCAACGGGAATAGTCGTTGATCCTTCTGCAGGGTATGTCACATATGCATTTCAGCATTTATTGTAGTATTACAAATGGTCAAAACAGATAACTTAGGCGAAACACTCTTCAAAATGAAATCCAACTATTATTTGGATACTTGGCGTTTGAATTCCCAGTCACTCATATGATAAAATCTTTGTCTTGATTCACCCCGGTAATGTTTTGTTCAGCTAAAGAATTAGTTGTGGACATTTTATTTTAAATCGTATAACGGATTAGGATATTCCCTAGAAAACGGCCATCTTGCTCTATCAGATATCGAAAAAATAAAAATGGGCAACCACATAATTATTGTCAGCACGACTTTTTAAAATACGTTTACCCAAGAAATGACTCGGGACATGAATTAATAGTCCATATTTTTTAAATCGTTCATCCGACATATTTTTAAATTAGAGTAAGCAGTACATTTTCATGTTAAGAATTTATAATTTTCTAGACACATCGATGCCATGTATTTAAGTAAACATCACACTAATGTATTTTACTGTTTACAGGGTAGTATACTGGTCAGATATAGGAACAAATGCGAAGATTGAAATAGCTTCATTGAATGGCGAACATAGGCGGGTACTGGTTAGTGCCGAGGATAGTTCGTCTGATATTATAGAAACTCCAATAGATTTAACAATTGACTATGAAATTAATCGGTAAGTAAATTTTACAACGATTTCGAGTGGTTCTATATTGATATGTCGTGAGGATGGTATTAATCAAATAATCAAGTATTGCTCTTTGTTATCTTATTTCATATATATACCGTTAACTACAAATTATCATTGTCCGTTGGGGTATTCCTTTGGCAACCGTTTTGGACCATTAGCTCAAATGTCCCATGAGCCAAAAGATGTCTATTTCAAGACGATGTGTATACTAATGTTAAACTGTCAGATGACACCGCAAAGTCTGTACGAAGGCAATACGGCGTCCATGAATGTGTATGCTTTGCGTTAGTTCAATGGTTAGAACCCTGTTAGCATTGTCATCAATACATGAAGTTGTCAAATGTATGATCAGAGCTATATTTCGACAGATTATTCTGGATAGATGCAGGCACCGACAAGATTATGTCGATTGATCTGATTTTCAACACTGTGAGAGAGGAAGTGATTGGAATCCCCTTCAACCAACCGATTGGCATCACACTGGATGCGGTAAAGCAAAACTACATTATGTAACTCAATTGTACAGAAAATGCGATATAATGTTATAATAATCATATAATCTTTGGATATTGTATCGCAGTTTTCCATCAACATTTACCAAAACACTTGGAAATAACTCACTATAAACTTCTTTTTTTTCAGAATTTTTATTTTGTTAGTGACGTCATCGAAAAAATATTTGTTATTTCTCGAACAAATACAGATGATTTCGGGGTCATTAATGCTGGGGGGACACGCTTTTTGGGCATCGTTTATTTTTCTTCGCAAGCATCAATAAATAGTAAGTTGTATAATGTGTAAATGTTATGCTCTCTATATGATGTGCCAGATTTTATGGTGTTGACATGCTTCTATGTAACTTTTGAATTGGGTTCGGTTTAAAAGTGATGTATTGTTACGAATGTAGAGACCTTCACAAAACGTAAGTGTTTTCTTATTCTTCCCCAAAATGTTGATGAAGATCTGCAGGGAGTAGGGAATTATTTATATTTGTTCGAAGATTATAAATACTAAGTATGTGATATAATAATTGCTTAGAGTGTAGGCAACTTTTCCGAATTACGATGAATATACTTATTTGAAGAATTGAAAGGTGATCAACCAAACGCAAAACAAACGTCCAATCGAGACATATTAACGCGAATGAGTGCGTCTGATTATTTTTAAGTTTTAAGTTACGTACATTCATCATATGATACCTTTATAATACATGTATGTAGTAATATTGTCAATTATCAATATTAGGTCCGTGTTCTGAAAACAACGGTTTATGCGATCAGCTGTGTGTAAGTGACTCAAATGGACGTAAATGCTTGTGCGCCCATGGGTACAAAATAGCTTCTGATGGAACCACATGTGAAATAGGTAATATAAAATAAGGATGGTTATAAATTAACACAAAGACTAACATACAGTTGAATTTCGATGAAGGTGCTAAAGACGTGAACTTTGTGGAAACTTTGCTTAAAGTATAACTGAATTGGGACAATTGATTTTTTTTTTTGCAAAATTTATTTATAAACAACATTATGAAAAACAAATCAAGTGAAAAATGTACATAAATTAAATAAACGATCAATAATATTGTTGCTATTTGTTAGGTTTCTCCGTTGACGACCTGATAAACTGGATCTTTCTATTCTAGATCCTTCACCAATATCACCCCCAAAACAAATATCTAGTTAGAAAGAAAGAATAAACATATGAATATTAAACGCCCACGTCCAAAAGGCGCTCAGCGCAAATTGATGCACACAGCAAGGTTAGGAGCGACCACAATTACAATCGATGTCAATTATGTAGGAAGCTTTTCGATGACGTAAACAGATTTAAATGCAATAACTTACAGAGTGTGTCCTGTTAAATACTTGATTGATTGATTGATTGATTGATTGATTGATTGATTGATTGGTAAAAGGTCAATCTGATCATCATTATTGCTTATTCCACAGATAACCACCTGGTTCCAGGTCATCGACTGATATTTTCTACTTTGAACAACACTGTATGCAGCTTGCCTGTTAACTTTGGTCATTCTGGTGAGCCTGCTGTTGAATGGTGTTTTATGGATAGCATTGCGTTGACTTCGATGGACTATATCTATAATCAGGATATGATGTATGGCTATGATGCACTAAGTCAGTCTATTGTGAAGACACAGCTACGAGATAATGCTGTCCCTAACACTGTTTTATCTGTAACTTATGTACAAGGTATGGGTAACATAAATAGTCATCGCTCCACGACCAAGTTGTGTATGCAATGCGTTGCTCAACAAACTTATCTGATGAGAATATTAGGGTAATGGAACATATACTATAACATATACTTTGAACAACACTGTATGCAGCTTGCCTGTTAACTTTGGTCATTCTGGTGAGCCTGCTGTTGAATGGTGTTTTATGGATAGCATTGCGTTGACAGTGCCAACC